TCAATGTATTTATGCCCCATCATATACACACGGAAATTGTCCTGAAATTCCCAGTGGAAAAAAAGGGACAAAAGGTCATGTTACGATGTCTTTCAAAATCATATCTATAGATAACTTTATATATACAGTTATATATACATATTATAAAATACAGTTTAAAAAACATCAAACAGCACACAATAAACCATTTCCCAAAGTCAGTAGGATAGAAAATATATCCAGTGAGATCTAATCCCATCTGAGTTTTATCTGAAGGAACATCATTAAAATCCAGACTGAGGGCAAAAATTTAAACTTGCTTTGTGTTGGCAGCAACCAATGCCTGGAGGAAGAATTTCCCACATGCCCCAGGGAGAGGGACTTCTGGCAGGTAGGACCCATCAGCCTCAGGTGAAAAGATTGAGGAACTTATGTCTCACGTTGTGCAAGAGGGACATTATGGTCTGTCATGAAGTTTTTGGTGACTATCGTTAATGAGTACATTGATATGAAAGTGGACTTGGTGGTAGTGGGCTGTGTGGAAGGTCTTGCAGGTTGTATCTTACAGTGGTGTTTGGCCATTGGATAGAAGAAGCAGAGCAGCTACATCTGGTCACTCTGATTTTAGAATGTTGTGACTGGATTTTATCCAGCTCTTGGGTCAGGGATATTGTGAGAAAAAGAAAAAAGGCAGCTTGTTTTGCTGTGAGTTTCTATATTTGTGAGGAAGGAGAATTCAGCAGAATTCTCAGGATTCACAGAACATTTAATATGTGGTAAACACAGACCAAAACACAGCACTGTGTGCATGCATGCATATATGTGCCAACATATACAAATGACAAGTCTTTGGGAGACCAAATCTTAAGACAGAGGTAACTAGATTCATTGCCAAATCCTTCAATTCCACACTTTCATTATCCCACCAGTTTGCAGTCCTGCAATGTTTCACATGCAAACCAGAAATAATAACACAAGCAGAAAGTAACTTCAGCACCATGGTGATTGAAGGTGGAGAAATGGCTGCAGAAAGGTTTTGAGAGGTACATTACATGGAGAAGACAGAACATACCTGAAGTGCTGACAAGCTTGCACATGCTAGATCTGAAATGCTTTTAGCTAGCTGGAGAAGAAAAAAAAAGAGTTGTTTTTTTTTTACAGTCACAGTTTCTGAGTCTGTCTGACTTAGGTTTTAAGCTCAAAAGACACTATTCTTTCCAGTGACTTCAATGGGTTTTAGATTAAGGCCTTAGAAGATGTTTGGTGTTTTGTCCTGCTCCAGTTCAGTCTTTTCAGAATCAAGAATTGGATCGATTATTCTCTGGGAAGAGCAAAAATGCTCCCAGCTGCCATCAGCTCCACAGCTTTTGGAGACAATAAATTTTTGCCAGGGCCCACAGCCACCTTTGAAGGAGCTGGCAAACACATTACCAGTTTTAATGCTTCATAGTTAAAAAGAACAGTTTATTTTACTTAAAGACAGCATTAGATGTCTTTTTCCATTCCAGCTATATATTAATGCTCCTCCACTCTCAACAGTGTTTTAATGAGGAACTGCAAACAAATAAGAATGGACCACAGGCAATTAAAAAGGATGTCATTACTAATGTTGCAGGAGAAACAGCTTGAAAACCGTCTGTGCTTTTCCTTTCTGTATAATTCCTTTTAAAATTGTTCCTGCTTTTTCCCCCTTCTTCATGCAGCTGTCACTTTTGTCTTCCCATCCATCCAGCCTTATGGCTGACAGCAGATGAGCTACTAACATTGGATGCTGGTTTTTTTCTGGATTGCACAGAAAATGAATGTAGGCTTGTAATTTTGGTCTCTGGAAATAGATATGTGTTAGTAGGCTAAGCTGCCGTGTTGAAGTCATGCAGTGCTAAAATCTTCAATGGAGGTAATCCCTTCTGGTTTTCTGACAGATCCATTTTTACCAAGAATGTTTTGGCAGGAAAAAAAGTAAAACTCTGCCACTAGAATTTTGTGCCTCCAGACAGCAAAACATTGACTGAGCAGCTGGAAAAATATGCAGGCTCCTTCACCTGGGTTGCCTGGGAGACCTGGTAGCTCACCCAGCTCTCCTGGTGCTGGGGATTGCCATGTCTCCCATGCACAGTCCTTGTGTCTGTGGGAGGCTGAGACGCTGGAGCTGCTGCACGAGGCTGTCCATGCTCTGTGAGCTGATGAGCTTCCAGGACCCTGCTGGGCTCTGTGCATCCAGCAAGACCCACGTGGGCTTCAGGTGCTCTCAGCACCTCTGCTGAGGTGTGAATCAGGTGAGCACTGCCCAGGGAGACTGCAGTGCTGGAGGGATGCACCAGAAAACGGGGTAGGGATGACCATTCTGAGACAGCACTCACCTGACTTTAGGGTGGCTGGAGGAGGGGGCCTGGCCTATGGAGCACATGATGGCATGATGTGTATTTGGGAAGTCCAAGGTGCCCTATACAGGGAGTGTGATGCACAGGCTCCTTGACTGGCACCCCCAGCAGATAGTGCTCGGCCCACAAGGACACTTGAACTAGCCTACAGGAAACTTTGAAAAGGTGAAGGAAAATCCAAATTTTTTCTTCTACTTAGCCTACTTTCTTTCAGACTAAAATCTGACTTCTTCACACATTTGGGGCCTTCCCATGTGGGCAGTACCTCTGTGTGGGCCTGGAGGGCGTGTGTTTTTGTGACCAAGGGGAAGGAATAAGATGAGTAACCCTCTCCTTGGTTTTTGTCTTGAAACTGGGCTGTTGTGGAGCCAGAAATGCAAAAGAAAATAGAGACAGGGGGAGGATGGAGACTGCAGCTCAGAGGGGTGGTTTGCACCCTGCTGTGTCCTCAAACATCTATGTATTTTAGGGACTCAAAATTCAGAAATAGTCTAGGCTCCTAACTGTTAAATATGTGATATGCACACAGTATCTTGTGATGAAAGTCTTTGATTCTTCATGATATTCTGAGATGTCTTCTCCAGAATTACTGAAGTTTTTATTAGTAAGAAATGTAATAAACTCCCCTCGGAAGCTGAGTCATACAGCGAATGTTTCTAAAAAATTCCAAGCAGTCACTCCGGATCTAGCTCATCAGGTGCAGGGTGAGTTGGCAGCCAACCTCATTTATTCAAAGCCAGGCTTAAAGCAAAACATAGAATTACTTTATAAAAGGGAGGAAGCAGCACTCTCCAGAAAGCAGGGTGTTTAAGAAGGTGAATGTGGGAAATTACCCAGGCAATGAAGATAGTCATATCACATGGTGAAAAAGATGTTCTCAAAATAGCTCAGGAAAATAAAATGTGATCAATGCCTTAACTTTTCTGCGTGTTTCAGTCTCTGATTCTGTATCTGAGAACAGCCTGCTTATCAGTCCCAAAGTGATTATTGCCACATGCCTTGTGATGGGGATGTCATCAGACTGCTACTGCAATGCCTAAATTAGTGTCTGCCAGTTGCAGAAAAGATGCTGTCTGAGTTACTGGGGCATTGCCCAAGTGAAGACTGAGGCCAAAGCTGCCTTTTGGCAGTGGTCTCACTGGCTGATGTGGCCTCAGTCCCTGTTGCATGTCTTGTCTCTTTCCCAAAGGATTCTATCCACAAAGACGCTCACAGGATAACTTCCATCCCACTTTAGTCCATGTGACCTCGGTGAGAAGACACATTCTATTTCAGGTGTCTACAGAACCTGCCTCAATGACTCTGTGGGGTTAAGGAGCACCCAGGAGCCACTCTGCAGGCAGACCTTGGCAGACAGGGAAACAGCTGGGACAGCAGCCAAAGCAGCCAGCACAACCACAGCTGGAAGAGGACGCTTATCCATGGGCTTAGGTGCCACAAGAGTTGGCAAACAGTGGTTTCAAGAGGGTCCTAATTCATCATCATGCTGCACCTTGAAAATTCACTTGATGTAGGTGTCTCTTGGGAAGCTTTTTAAGTTTGCATTGTCAACTCAAATGCAGGCAAGTGTTAAAAACCGCTTTTCGTGTCCACCTTGGGGTGTCTCTTGGGAAGCTTTTTAAGTTGACTTTGCGTTGTCAACTCAAATGCAGGCAAGTGTTAAAAACCGCTTTTTGTGCCCCGTGTCCACCTTGGAGACCAAACGAGTTAGACTAGTTCTTAGCTAAGCTAGTTTTCTATGTCGTTTTTAAGCTCCATGCTAAAAAAGAGGACCCACAGAGCTGTTTGCGGGTCCAGGGATTTGTGAGCTCTGGTGACACAAGTCTTTGCAGCTGCTGCACGTTGCCACCATGACCCCACATGAGGAGCACACCCAAAGGGCTATTTTGGCAGTCTCAAGTTGACAGGTACAAGTGGTAAACAGAGGAGAGATTAGAATCTTTATCCAAAGCTCCTTGGGATATAGATAACAAGTGTGAATGGCAAAAAAGTTGGGTTGTTTTGGAGACTCTTCATCTGCTGAGCTAGGCAGCCTTGTGTGGACTCCTGACCAGCTGCCAATATGAAATACAGCACAGCAACCAGCAAGAACTTGTATGTGTCTGGTCTGCCTGCACGTGCTGACAGCACATACAAGAACAGAAATGATGAAGCTTTTATGTCTACAGTGTGTATAGAAACCTGTTTTACAACAGCAGTGGGCTCAGAGCACCCATCTGTGCAGTTAGCATTGCTCCACTAAGAAGGGGTATAAAGCTTCTGATGGGGTAAGGCATTCACTGCAGCCATTTGCTCATGGCCTAACAGAGCTCTATCTGTTCCTATAAAAATTCAAGGAAAATTAGTCCCTCAGCTTGTTAACTCAACCTTGAATTATGAGTTGAATGAGATTATGCACCAAATCCCAGAAGCCTGTCAACGATTTTGTTATTTATATGTTTTCTGGGAAGTAAACAAAACCAAATATCCTTTCCCTAATTCCAAAAACATCTTTCATGATTCGTGGGAAGATTATTTGGGCATCCCACTAATATTTTGGGCAACTCTGACTAACGAAAGCACATATATAGAAGTGTGGGTCCAAACACAGAAATTCAGAACACTTCTCAACATGTCATGTAGCTGTAAAACCTCTTTCATTGGGTGAAAATAATGAAAGACTGCCCTGTGATTGCTAGCACCACTCCTTGAGCTGAGAACATTTCTCTTTTAAGAATATGTAAGAACTTTTAATCAGGATTTACTTCCCTTTACCCTGTTCATGGTTTTTCTTTGGCTTCTGCATTAGTAGCACTCGGGTTTTGCATCAAGTTTTTGTGGGTTTCCTTTTCATTAAAAACTTTGAAGTCTGTGAGCAACAGCAAGCAGAAGAAGGAAATACTGAATACGCCAGAAGACCCATGAGCTGAGGTAAGACAAGATTTGTTTATTTTCTCTGCTGTAGATAAAATGGTTGCAATGATTAAAATACAACGTACTTTCTCAGTATTTGCAGTTAGGGTATTACTTGCCAGAGACAGTGATAGTTTACCAAACTTCTCTATGACAAAGCTGGTGTTGAGAAATTTTTTTGGCAGAAAAAAGGGTAGATTTATGTAACTAGGATTGTTTGCCAGATGGAAGATAACAATGAAGTTGTGGATCTGATTAAGAGAGCCTTGTTTTTTAACTAGATGAAAAACATGTATTTGGCTTATGGCGAACTTTAAAAATAAAAGGTGTTAAATGTCAGACTCTTGGGGTTTTCTCCATTATTGTGCATTTAGAAAGGTGAATAACATGCCATGTTTTGATGAATTTAGTGTTGATTCTAAATATTGCAGTTGTTTTCATTTATTCTTGGTAATGCTGCTCCTGAAACACAAAGTGAATATTAGCAAGAAAGCCAGTGGGAACTTTAAAAAAACATGAGAACTTCTGTTTTTCTTGGAAGTGCAGTGGCAAATGCAAATGATCTCCTATATACCAGCAATATTATAATTGCCTTCCTATTTGGGAAATAAAAAACAGACTCAGGTGTCTGGGGTTCTCTTTAGACAAAAGGTTACTGTGATAGATGTAAAGATCATACAAGAGATTCTAACTATTTCTCCCTTTACATAGCAAAGTATTATATTTTGATGGAACAGCCTGATTTCCCTATTTAACTTTGCATACGGAGAACATCTTATTAAAGGGAAGTTGTTTTGTCATTCCTCATGTTATAGTGAATGCAGTGTTTTAGAGCAGCAGATCTCAGATCAACAGTTTGGAAATGGAGTGTTTATTTATGCTTTTAGAGACAGTGGAGATTTCATATTTAGCCCATCAGCAGCAGCACCCCTCCACGACACATCTTAAAAAGGTTTCTGTCCTTCTGTCCAGACATGGCACAGAAATCCATCCCATTCTCTGCTGGGATGCCATATCATTTGATTGACTGCCCTCTGTAAGAACAGGGGTAGCCCAGGGCTGCTGACGACTTTACTTGCCTTTCTCTGCACATTCTCAAGCTCCATAATCTCTGGTTTTAGTGTGGAGACAAGAACTGTCCACTATGGGAAGGCATCAGGTTTTATACAAGGTTTGATACCCTACTTGATGGTGCCCCTCATTTTGCTGATAATTTTGGTTCTTCTGCAGTTGTAGTCAATGCAGAAGTGACTTTAGCAAATGGTCAATGATGCCAGTGCCAAGTGCCCTTTCCTGAATGCAACAGCCAGTTTAAAGTTCATATAAATTGGCACAATTTAGATTTTTTTTCCCCAGCATGCATCACCTTATATTAAATTATACTAATTCTCACCTGCCCCCCTTCCAGCATGGCATCTGCCAACATGGAGAGCTGTCACGTCCAGGCTGTTGATAGAGACACTGGATAAATCTAGTCTGAGTGCCAAACCCTAGAGGACTCCATTGCTTATTTATTGAGCCCCCACTTTGCTTCCTGCACTTCAGCCAGCTTTCAGCCCACAAAAGAACATGCCTTCCAGCTCTCTGGCAACTTAGGAACTTAAGAAACCTTTGTTGTAGAGCTGTGTTGAAGGCTTTGACAAATGCAACTCTATAAATGCACACCTATCACAGAATCATAGAATGGTTTGGGTGGGAAGGGATCTTAGAGATAATTTCATTCAAAGCCCCCTGCCATGAGCAGGGACATCTTCCACTAGACCAGGTTGCTTAAAGCCCCATCCAACCTGGCCTGGAACACTGCCAGGGATTCCATTCCCCCTTGCCCTGTCACAACATGCCCTTGTGAAAAGTCCCTCTCAAGCAATCTTGTAGGGCCCCTTTAGGTACTGGAACATGCTTTAAGGACTCTCTGGGGTCTTCTCTTCTCCAGGATGAACAGCCTTAGCTCTCTCAGCCTGTCTTCATGGTCCTGCTCTGGGCCATCTCCAGTAGGTCCATGATGTTCTTATGTCAGGGTTTCAGAGCTGAATTCAGTGCTCAGGTGGGGTCTCACAAGAGTGAAGTAGAGGGGAAAATCTCTTCCCTCAGCCATATATGTACATCCATATATATATATATGGGTCCCCTTCATCCATTGTCATCACAGCTTTTCAGTGGGTAAGCCAAACAGGATCTCCCTTTTCAGAAGACATAATGACTTTTTCTCAGCAGACTGGCATTTCAATGAGCTCAGTGACTTCATTCTTTATTACAGATGCCCCCAAAATGTCCCAGAGGAGGAAATCGGTCCTGGTGGTCAGTGGCTCCCAGGACTGATGACGAGCTCACAGCCTTGATCAGCCTTATCAAGCCTTTCTGGTAAATGAGAGCTGCACAGATGACACATCAGTCCTCTGGCACAGCTCCTGATTGCAATGGTGGGTTACGTGCCTTGGCCAGCAGTCTCACGGCTGAGGTCCTTTGGGACACTGATATGAGTGCCATCTGGTCTCAATTACTTTTTGGACTCTCACTTATCTAGTTGGTTTAATACTTCCTGCCCACATCTGTTGAGTGGAGCTGGCTCCTCTGTCCTTTTTACTGTACCAGCCCTTAAAATATCCCAGCGTCTTTGGTTGGGAAGAGTGAAATCCCAGAGTTTTCCTGCTATGACCTTGCTCCTAAGAGATCTTTTGCCACCAAACTCCCCTGCCAGTTCCCAAGTGGTTTTTCATCTTCCAGAAGGTTTACAAAACTTACTGTCAACCCAGAACATCCTTTATCAGAAGCTCTTAACTATTTTTTTTCTTTAATGCTCCTGGTTTCCTCTCCACATTTGATCTGCCATGATACAGACTTTCCTGTTCTCCCCATTTTGACAAGCCTTCTGCTTTCCAAATGGAGATATTTTCCTTAGAGTAGTCTTGGTAACTATTTTACTGATAGACATTGGGCTCAATATTTCTTAAAATACCTATTTCTTTTGGAACGTAGGCTTGTTGAATTTTCTGTTTGTTTCCAGAAACAAACCCCAAATTTATGTAGGCTTCTTCCTTGTGGGACTGCTTCCCTGTCCCACAATGCTGTTGAGCTCAGCTCTACTGTGATTAACAGTACAGAGCTACCTCCACCAAAACCTGTGCAGCACTAAAGATAGATGGCATTTTGTAGAGGTAGAATGCCAAGGTAGAATAGCATCTTGTGATGCTGATTTTTTTACAGGACTAATTATTCTAGGAATCAGGAAGTTGTTGCTTATGGACATAGCATCTCATCCTGCTGCAGCATTGCATCATTATAAAGACACCCCAAACCTCCTCCCATTGCTACCTGCTTTCATCTTCCTACCCTCACTTAATGTGCTCTGGCAATTGTCATAACTTGCTAAGGAGCTCAGTAGTGCATTCCAAGCAGTATATTTTTATTATTAGAGTCTGCCTACAAGAGCACTGTTGTGCTTCTCTTTAGCCACAATATTTTTACAGTGTTGTGAGTTATGTAGTCCCTCCTGCACAGTGCCACTCCTCCACCTGAGCATCCTACAGTATCATTACCATAAAGCTGGTAGCATGGCAACACGGGCTCCTATTGATTATCCTTTCTCCTGCAGGTCTCTGAGATTTCCTTTGTACCAGGGTTTTGGTCTCATGCCAAGCCTGATGGGTGCTCTGTATCTTTTTCAGGTTTGAGATCAGTGAAGAATTACACATAAGATATGGTTTTGATCAGACATTCAAGATAGCATGTGCCAGTCTATTGGATTTGCAGGCAGTTGGATCCTGAGATTAAAATATGAGAGGTTTGGGGCATTTTTATTAGCTTAGTATCTTCTTCAATTAAACAAATCCCCTCTTACTTTTGCTCTATCAGCCTACCTGTCTTGCACACCCATCCATTTGTTAAAGATGTAAAATTCACCTTAGGCAAGGAATGTCTTTCTGCTATCATCTTACCTGAATTGCACTCAAGCCAGGCTAAGATAAAAGGAAAAATATATATTCATAATAAATATGTATAATTTATAACATAGATGTAATTTGTAATGAAAGATAAATATTTCTTAATAAAATCCATGCTAATCAAGCTGTAAATATTTTTTTAAGATTTCACAGAAGAAAAGATAAAAAACCCACCCAAACTCTACATCTAATCTACTCATGCAGCAATTACTGCAGAAAAGGGTCTCTTTTTCTTTCTCAGCTGATTTTCTCTTTCTCATGCCAGGGAGATTGTCAGAGCCTCAGGACATGTGTCAGCTGCTTCCATTTGATAGCTTCCATCAGTAAAACTCATATATAGAAAAAATCTCCTGTTAGAGAATTTCTATCAGAGGAGTCTTGCAGTACTACTGAAGAGAGAATCCCATTTCAGTTCGTCCTTTTCTCTCCTTTTTTTCTTTTTTTCTTTTTTTGGTGGGGACTGTTAGATCTTACTGCAAATCTTCTTTTGGGAGACACAGAAAATTCCTGTAGGTCCAGTGTCTCAGCCTTAACCCATCCTGTTCAATCCTGACCCAGGAGACCATCTGGATACTTTTGCTGAAAATGAAGTTTATGACCTGTCCTTAGATAGATCATTTATTCTGTATATCTAGGAGCCATCCCTAACCTTAGCTGGCTAATAAAAGTTCTTGGATTCAAGGGAGGATAAAATTCTTTGCTTATCCTCTGTGGTTGGTTGAGGTAGTCCCACGTGAAATGTATCTTTCACTTCACCTTCCATTCCACATTGATCTGTGTGTCAAGACACAGCTAACAGGAGCATCTACACATGAAAATGTTATGGGTTATTGTTTGCCCTGTACTGAGTGCAGGCACCATGGTGCTTTAAGAGCTTTCAGTTGACTGGTCTCCAGCTTCTTTCTCTTGGACATGCCATAACAGCTTGAAACTCATGTTGGAATAGCTTGGAGAGGAGTCTGAGAACTGATTTTCTTGCTAGGATCAAGGATACTGAATTTTCTCAATTGCACATGCACTATTCTACTCTTACTCTCAGTCTAGCTGGAAAGAGAATTGAGGAGCTTTTGTGCAGTTAGAGGACAAAATAGCTGAAATTATAGTTGTTGGCTAAATATCCTCATATGAGGAGCCTGAGCAAAGTGCCTCAGCCCCCGTGCTTGTATTCTCTCCCCAGGGTGCAGGGACCCAAGGGCTTTTCATCAACTGAATCTTCTTTGCCAATCCCATCCTTCATCAGATAGCATTGGACACAAACCATCACCCAGTGCTGAGCAGGGCTTGGAATTTGTCCACAATCCAAGTTCTTAACCCTCATTTGATTCCTCTACTTCATAGCTTTCACACAAAACAAGAATGCTTCCACAGGTGGCAGATCTCTTTACTGATATTTTCTTGTGTTTTGGGGTTTCTAAAGGCAAGGATGCTTGGACCACAGGAAAACAGAGTCAGAAGGGTCTTCCCTTTGCTGTACCTCAGGCTGTAATGTTTTCCTGGAAAACAGGGGGATCGTATTCATTTTGGAGAAAAGCTGAATTTGATCTCATACAGAAAATGTGTGTATCAGGCAGTTGTTCCATAAAGAAAACCAAAACAATTAAAAGTCCTTTGATTGCCGAAGATTTGTCTTTAAGAAGAATATCTTTTCCTTTGAGAAGAAAGAGGATCCCAAAGGAGGAGGAGATTAACTTTAGGAGCATGTGTTTAGTCAGTCCAGTGCTTTGCTGAGACCCAATATCCATGAAGGGCTCCTTGGGAGACCAGCCTGGGGTTGTGCTTCCCACGCTTCCCATCCCAGTGGGGCTGGATGAAAAGATGCCTGCTAGGGCACATCTGGTTGCTGTATTTAAGGGACTCAGACAGACTCTGGGACACAACCCTGGAGATACCATGGCCTGCTCTGAACATAGCTCAGGCTCCCCCACCATGGCTTCCGTTCACAAATTAGCTCCCATTCACAGCACAGCTGAGTGTTCGACGTTCCCAAATGTAAAGCCAAATTTACCCCCAAGGAGGCTCCACCTGTACAGATAAATTAGTTCCAAATTGTGAAGCCAGTGAGGTTCAGAATAAGAGGTAGGATGCTGTCGTGTACCATGGGCATGTTATCACTTACACTGGGGCAAATTAAAAGCTTCTTTTCCATGCATCTGGAAATGCCATGTAGTTGTGGTTTTCAGGCTAAAAATTTCCACGCCCCATCTTTGGAATATATTTGCAGATACAAAGAGGGAATTGCTCCCACTCTCAAACAAGAAACAATACTGACACCTTCCTTTGAAAATACTACTAGCTGCATGACAGCTGAGATAAGAAATCAAGAGTTCAGAAAATAAATAGACACAAATGAGAAAAAAAATATTATTTAGAGTGTTTTAGTGGTGAGTGGTTTTGATTTGATTGAATTATAGCCTCACAGGAGGAGGAATGCCTCTCTCTGTGAGCACAGCCCATTTTCTCAGAGGACATTTTCATTAGGGCTGCAAATGTGGGCTGCCCTGGAAGCTGCAGTGTGCATGGATGACTGACTGGTGCAGAACAGCTGAGCACAAAAGAGGTTACGATAGTGGTACATGGAGCAAAGACCCCACAAAAAACAGACATAGAAAGCCACCAGAAGCTACAAGAAAATAGAAATACAGTGCGAGGAGGGAGTTAAAAAATGAACTGTGCATAATCAGCACAGTGTTTGCACAGTGTTTAAGGTCAAAATGTCCTTAATTTTTACACGTATCAAAATATGCCTGGTATTGCTCAGGAAATACTGCCAAAAACATACCAGAAAAATTTACCTAGTTCCAAAAGGCAGATTCAGTTCTTTTGGCTTTCCATCCTAATTTGAAATGCAGGCCTAGCAGTGGGCAGTGATTTCTTTTCTGATCAGGTTTTGATGTTTCCATGGTAGGTGACTGGGGACTCAAAACTTCCCTGCCACAAAATGGCTGACAGCAAGTTGGCTTGTTTTGCACAGCAAAGATCAGAGACTTGTCATTAAAACACACACACAGCACCTCTAAAAGGCAGCACTTTTACAGGCTGAGAACACAACCAGCTGCTGTAGCGCTGAAACTCATTAGAGCTTACTTGGGGCTTTGTGTCTTGAGATGTGTATTTACTGGGACATCACAAGTAATTACTCGTTAACGAATTCTTACTTCCCACTGTCATCTGCATCTTGCAATTTCTGCCCTCAGTTAAACAGTCCCAAATAGCCAAACTCCCTGCCCAGCCTGTAACCCAGCACTCACACCACTTCTTTTCTCTTTGGCAGGAAAATGGAGATGCTGGCTCAGACTATGAATATTTCCGAGGTGGCACTAAATGGCAGCTTCACTGACAGCTCCTCCAACTGTACAATTGACGGCTTCAAACAAGTAATTTATCCCATCACGTATATCTTTATCTTCTTCCCGGGTGCTGTTGGAAACAGCCTCTCCATTTATGTTTTCTTCCAGACTTCGCAAAGGACCTCGATAAACATTTACATGCAGAACTTGGCTATTTCAGACCTCATGTTTGTGAGCACTTTGCCCTTTCGGGCCTCATATTTCCTCTTGGGATCGCATTGGATATTTGGTGACATCCTCTGCAGGATCATGACTTACACCTTGTACATGAATATGTACTGCAGCATTTATTTCCTCACCGTGCTCAGCGTGGTTCGTTTCATAGCCATTGTCCACCCATTCAAACATGCAAAAGTGACCAACATGAAGTGTGCCAGGATCACCTGTGTGGCCATATGGATCTTTGTGCTGGTAGCTGCCAGCCCTCTCTTAAACAAGGGAATCGCTGGCTACAGAAACCCAGACAAATGCTTGGACCTCCACCCCTCCAGCACGCACAGGCTCCTCATGATGAACAGCTTTGTCCTCGTCGTGGGCTTCATTCTGCCCTTCTGCACCATTGTGTTCTGCTATGTCTTTGCCATCAGAGCGCTGCTCAAGTCCAGTTCTTTGCAGAGCAGGAGGGCAGTCTGTCACAGGAAGGCGCTGTTAACCATTGTCATCACTCTCATCCTCTCCCTCGTCTGTTTCCTGCCCTATCACATCCTGCGAACTGTCCACCTGATGTACAGCAGCTGCAGCCAGGCCAGCCTGCACAAGGCGCTGGTGGTCACTCTCTGCCTCGCTGCCACAAACAGCTGCCTTGATCCCTTCCTCTATTACTTTGCCGCTGAAAATTTCAAAGCAAAAATCAGAAGTTTGTGCTGCTGGTAGCTAGTGCAAAATTGCAAAAAAAAAAAAAACATTTATATATATACATATATATATATATATATATATATATATATATACAGTCTCCTGGGATATACAGTCCTGATGGGATCTCTAGACTGGGCTCATACTATTCAGTGACAGAGGCTGTGTGCTGTGCTGCTGGCCAGCCTGCAGCTCTACTGCTCACTGTCAGGCATCTCTGGAGCAGAAGTATCTAGGACAGAGCTCTTTGTGGGTGACCAAAATTGAGTCTGGATGATCTCAGGACAGGTGGCTGGGTATGATCCCTGGTTGTCTTCTCTTTAGCAGAGATACCTCTGTTGTTCACCCTCCCCAGGACAAGGCATTGAAATGAATCCACCTTGCTACTGGAGTCCCTTTATTTCATTTCACAGTACTGAGTGACTTTAAAGGGAAACTGCTCACCTGACCACTTCAGTGTCTGTGCCTGAACCTCTCAGTGCTCCATTTCCCTGCATGTGCAGGGGTTCAGACACTGTGATTCCTTACACATTCACAGTACCCTGCCAGTTCCCATTGCAAACACTGTCAAAGGGGTTGCACATTAAAGAAATATAAAGCACTACTTATGCTTTCTACTGAGGCTGACTTAAAAAGCAGGAAGAGAGGCAAACAGGACCCAGCACTGGCTCAGGCTGCCCAGAAGTCACTAACATTTTAAAATTTTCCACTCTGAACCAGCCACCAAGGTATTCTGTTAACAATTCTTGGGTTGCCAAGTGAGAGAATGATTTCAAGCAAGTGGCATCGCCCTGGAGTGTTGTGAGTAAGATGACTGCTGGCAGGATGCGGGCGCCCAGAGCATTGGGCTGCGTCCTGCAGCTCTTCATGTGGTGTCAATTCCTTCAAGGTCATTGCAACACTTTTTATGCCCAGTGTTGCCAGTGTTTTTCACAAAGTTGAGGCTAAGTCGTTCCATTCCCATGCAGGGATCCAAAGACAAACTTTTAAAATTATTTTGGTCTAAAAATGTTGTTAGGGAGTGGTTTCCTCTGCACAGGTAAATCAGTCTTACACCAAACAGCTGCCAAAGGCATTCCCAATCACTCATCTTCAGTCTCCTCTGAGGAGGAAATTGATCCCTTTTTTCATAGGATTAACTTCCTGTCGGTTTGAATTTCCTACATCAAACATAAAAAAATGCAACAGGGAAGCACTAACCCAGGCACAGGAAGAAAGATGGGCAACAGAGAAGGTGGAGGAGAGCTTTTTTAGGAAGCAATGGGAATCTACTCCTGCGTGTACTTTGGAAAATTTCATCAAATGGCTGTCTCCATTTGTAAGTCTCCAAATATTTTCTAAAATATGTTTTCTAAAAACTAGACCTAAGTGAAAACAGGCTCCAAACTCAGTTAGACCATATTTAGATTTTGGGTTTAATTACCTCATCTTTTACTAAAAACAGACAAGAAGTTTAGTCTTATTTTCCAAGAAAGCAGCTGGGCTTATATGAAAACTAACAGAAATGCTCAAAGCCTTCCTTCACCATGAAATTCAACCAAAGGAGGGTTTCTCTCTGTGAAGATACTTCTCAATACTCTGAACTTTTTATGGAGAAAGAACTCCATAAACTGAATGTTATTGCTCCCAAACAAAAATAACAGCAGCAAGCTATTTTTAGCTCTGTCTGAAATATGCAGAAAACAAATAATTGCTGGTCAGGTGGAAAAGTACTTGGCAAATCACTGGAAAAGACATATTTTTTCTTGGCTATCTAAGGGTTATGTTCAATCTGTTGCAGTCATTTGATGCTGCCTTTGATGTAGGCACAGAGTTCTATCAGAAGTCTTCACTAAAGTTCATTCTCCAAATCCTTATTTCAATAGCACAGCAGCATACTGGAGAGCTGACCTAATGATGCCACGTGAACTCCTTGATCCCCTGCTGTTGATGAAAAAGGTAATATTAGCAATGGTTTGTAATGTGAATTTGATTGAGATGGTAACCATGCAGATATAGCAGGCACAAAAGTGGAAGGAAGGGGCAAATTCTTTTTCTGTGGTTTTCACCCATCAGGAGGAAACCTGAACAGCAACAAGTGACAAGCTTGAAGCTTCTCATGAAACACCACCCACTTCAAATACTGCAAGAGAATGCAAAAAATTAACCACAGTCTAATCTCACCAGCATGCTTCTGTCTGTATCTGTCCAGTGCACCCAATTTTGCATTTAAAGGATATATGTATCTCACTTATAAGGTCACTTTTTTTTGTATTGATCACGCTACCACTTTGTTGGCAATTGAATTAACTGTCAGAACTGTGTTTTAATAAACTAGATTTACCTGTGGCTGAAGAAATGTTTTTTATTGATCGCACAGCTAACAAGGGATCTCCTCTGAGTGCAGGGGAGAAGGAACAAGAAACAGATACTGAGTTTCTGTAAGTGGGCCATCATTTCACAAGACTGAAATGTCCTTGGATGTCTGAGAACATCCTGCTGCCTTATTCACATTGCCGACAAAATAGTGGGGAACATGAGTCAAAATCGGAGGCGCAAATAAAGTAATAAAATTTTTAAATTATGGTGTAGTTATGAAAGAATTTCAGACCATCCTTGTTAGGGATTTTCTCATGAAGCTTCAAAAACACTTGTATAACATGCCACATTCCCATTTACTGCCTTGTCTCCATTTATTGCTCTTGCATGTCTCTACTCATGGAGTTCAAGATTTGGGTTCTTCACTGTGGAAGTATCATAGTAAAAAATGTAGTTAAAAAAGCACCAACATATCTATTCTAAAACGTCATGCTCCTGACAGTTAAATTTCTTGCAACGCCTCTAGGTCTCTCAAGGGACCATATTCCCCTTAAAAAGTACTTTGATATGTTTCCTCAAATTTCTAGGAGGCAAAATCTAAGAACAGCTATGTACATAGAAAGTAAAAGAAACAGTAAAATTGTGAGCTTGAAGGAGACATAACAAGAGGAAATGAAGTCTTTAAGTGACCCTTAAGCAGCAGCAAATTATCTACCTTCATATGCACATTTTTCCTGCCATTCAGGGAACCCCTGGTACTTCTAGACAAAGTTAATTTTTCAGTTCAAACTACACTAGGGTCATAGAGAGGCAGCAGAAGGAAATGCCACTCTTCACACCAGCTTTTAAGCCCCAGTTTGAGCCCATGGGTGGCTATGATTGCCCGATGGTGTCACAGTGAGCAGGGGAGCATCTCATGACTGTGATCCTCCCCTTCGACTTGGCTCTCATGAGACCCCACCAAGAGAGCTCTGTCCAGCTCTGGGGCCTACAACATGAGGAAGACTTGGACCTGTTTGAGTGAGTCCAGAGAAGGACCATGAAGAAGGTCAGAGGGCTGGAGCACCTCTCCATGAAGACAGGCTGAGGGAGTTGGGGATATTCCAGTCCGGAGAAAAAAAAGGCTCCAGGGAGATGTTATAGCACCTTCCAGTACCTTAAGGTGGCTACAGAAGAGCTGGAAAGGGGCTTTTGACAATGTAGTGTTAGCACAAGGGGAAAAGGCTTGAAACTGAAAGAGGTCAGGTTTAGACTAGAAACTAAGAAGAAATTCTGTACTGTGAGGATGTTGAGGCACTGGAACAGGTTGCCCAAAGAAGTTGTGTACGCTCCACCCTTGCAAGTGTTCAAGGCCAGGCTGGATGGGGTTTTGAGCACACTCGTCTAATGAAATGTATCCCTGACCACAGTAGGGAGATTGAAACTAGATGATCTCTAAGGTCCCAAACCATTCTATCATTTTATGATTTTATTATTTTTATTTTAATCAATACATTATCTGACTAATTTTCATTATACATCCTCTGCCCTTCTCAACATACATCATGTCACCATAGCTTATATTTTGCTTTGGCTCCTAAGTGTGTTGGGAGAAAGGAGTGCAGATTTTGCTGATCAGCACCTCCTTTCTGAGGTGCCTATTCCTTTATGCTACAACAGCTGGCTGTGCTGGCAGCAGAGCAGGCAGGAGACTTGTCCTCCCTCTTAGAGATGTTGACACTTCTCTTGGTCACTTGGGATGGTCAAGATAGAAACCTCCTGCTGCTGATAGGAGTGGAAATAAGATCTAGCCAAAACAACCAAGTGTAATCACAGTCAAAAGGATTCAGATGCTGTTTCAACAGTGATACCATCCCTGGGCTAGTGTTTTGAATTCTTGCATTATATCTGAGGAAGTTTAAATGATGATCTATTTAAAAGACAGTGTAAATGATGTGCAATCACAGACTTCCTGAGAGAGTCCAGTATTGTTTGATGTGCTTCAGCTTCCTGGCCAGCACCGAGCATGATCTGCCAGGCACTGTGACTGTCCCAATATGCTGTGCAGTCCTGTCCCTCTCACATGTTGTGCTGTGTACATACAGGAACGTTCCTGGACATCTGCAGAGACAAGCAGGATATTTAATTGCATTCAGCTGATGTTATGTAGCTACATCTGTTCATCCACAGTCAACAGCTTAAGGAGGCCAAAGAAGTTAAGTAACTTTCTTTGTCCCAATTTCCTTTTCTGCCTTTCAGAAAAACTGTCCAGAATTCCACCACTGCTTCTCCTTTTGATTTTGCAGCTGAAGGATGAAGCTGCCTAACACAGGGACCCGGTCACAAAAGTCACATTCCTGTTCAGGAGCAAAATGTGAGCCTTAACTTCTGAAGCTGAGAAATAAAGCTCTGGACCTTAGTCCATTTCTCATATTGCATCACTCAAAGCTTGAATGCTCAGAGTGGTGGCTGGCAGGTTTGCTTGTCATGTTTGCTCTCTGGATTTCCAGAAGCTGAGAGGCTGATCATGCTAACTGTGGGATGACAGCATGTCTTCTGAGCAGCCATGGGAGATGCAACTGGGGATGCTATACTCAGCATGGAGCTGTGATTCATTACAGAAATTTTGGCAAATAAACCTCTGAAGGAGGGGATCTTTGTTCTCTGCAGATTTTTCTTACATTATAACCAGCTTTCAGTTCTGGAGGCAAGGAGCCTGACAGTCTCTGGCAGGTCAGCTC